CCATGCACATGCCCTCAGGCCTTATGTCCATGTCATCTTCTGCAATAAAGTGCGGGGCACAGTGTAATGTAAAAAAATACTAACAATCGACTAAGTGACGTTAAGTGCCGGATCTATCCCGAAAGCAGTCGTCAGAGAATGCGAGCTTCACCCACTTTGGCTTTTGTGCTGAGCTGGGAACTGTGCATTCTGCATGCTACCGGAGTGGTAACAAAAGAGCCCCTCCTCTCCCTCACTGGAGAACACGAACTCCAGCCGAACGCTGACGCCGCGTTCGGTTATGTCGGCCGAGCGCTGAGTAATTGTATTTGTTGTCCCCATCCGTGTAGTTCTAAAGTTAACCGCTTGGGGCGTCACGGTCTGTCCTCCAATCAAGCTGGTGAAGAATTTGGGCCCTAAATCTATGGCAAAACTATGGGAGGTAGTGAGCACTATGATAACAAAAGGAAATATTCCAGATGAATGGAGGCTTAGTAGGATGAGTATGATATATAAGGGAAAGGGAGATAAGTTTGATATTAGGAATTATCATCCCATAACCGTGACACCAGTTATTTACAGGTTGCTAATGCAGATTATAAAGAACAGACTGGAGGAATGGGTAGATTGCGAGGGCATACTGTGCGAGTTACAGAACGGGTTTCGGAAACAAAGAAGGTTGGGGGCCAATATATTTTCTCTAGCACAGTGTATAGAAATAGCGCAAAAAGAAAACAGACAACTCTGGCTGGCGTTTCTGGATATCAAGGGTGCCTATGACAATGTGAACCAAAGGAACCTGTGGGACATAGTGGAGAGCTTAAACCTAGATGAAGGACTAACAGCAATATTAAGGAACATTTACAAAGATAATAAGGTGATTATAACATGGGAAGGAAAAGCGACGGGGAAAATAGAGATAAGACGAGGCCTTAGGCAGGGGTGCCCGTTATTGCCTTTGCTGTTTATGTTGTATTTGAGAGGATTGGATAGACTAGAGAAGAGTGGGCTTGGATTAGACCTTTCGTACAGTAAGCTAGGTCAGAAAATTCAGCAATCCTTACTGGGATCGATGTATGCGGATGATATCGTACTAATTGCTAACAACAGGACAGAGTTGCACGAATTAATGAGCATCTGTGGTAGGGAAGGAGAAGAATTAGGTTTAGAATTCAGTAGTGAAAAATCAGCAGTCATGATTTTTAACGATGATGAAGTTGAGAGGCTGAAGATACAGAATATTACAGTTGAGAGAGCTAGTAAATACAAGTATCTAGGAGTATGGATATGCGATGGTGCAGAATATCTCGGTGAGCATGAAAAGTATATAATAGGTAAGGGCAACAGAAATGCAGCTGTAATGAAACATAGAGCACTTTGGAATTACAACAGGTATGAGGTGGTGAGAGAGGTTTGGAAAGAGGTCATGGTGCCTGGCTTGACTTTTGGAAACGCAGTGCTATGCATGAAAATCGAAGTGCATGCAAAACTAGAAATAAAACAGCGCGGAGTAGGTAAGCTGCCTTTGGGGGCACATGGCAAAACGCCAAACCAGGGAGTACAAGGGGACATGGGATGAGCGTCATTCGAGAGCAGGGAAGCGGTGAGCAAGATAGAATTTGAGGATCGGTTGAGGCAAATGGATGGAGAGCAATGGGCACGAAAAGTTTTCAGCTATTTATACATGAGGAGTATAGACACAAAGTGGGAGACAGCGCACTAGGAAATTAGGAGGAAAGTTTTTGGGCTATAGTGGAGTTACGGAAGAGAAGGTCTCAGTTAAGAAGAAAGTTAAGGCCACAGAAAGAGATCGGTGGCTAAAGGGAATGGAGACAAACACGGCTCTGGAAAGCTATAGAATAAACAAAACAGTTTTTACCAAAGAAAGCATTTATGACAATTCTAGGGGAAGCTCATTGTTGTTTCAGGCGAGGACAGGTGTTCTGCGAACCAGAACATACAGAGCGAGGTACCAGGAAATGGATACAGTGTGCACTGCTTGTGGAGAGGAGGACGAGACGGTTGAGCACTTGATACTCTACTGTAAAGGGCTTCACCCTATGCCTACCGAAGGCAATATAGATTTAATAAAGTCATTGGGTTTTCGAGACAGCGAAGGAAGAGTGGATTTCAAGACAGTAGAGATTACCAAGCAAAGATTAAGTGAATGGTGGCAGAAAGCGAGAGAAAACTAGGTATTTTCTTATTAACTGATGGCAAGGGAGTTTTATAGCCTCACTTTCTTTGCAGTGCGGAGTGAATATAGTTTTCACATTTAAATATTCTAAGCTTAAATGGTAAAAAAAATGGCTAGGTGACGTAAGCTACCTCCCGATCCAAAGGGCTCAGCCAGATTCATCCATCCATCCATCCTCCCCAATAACCGACTTTGGTTAACGAAGTGCAAAAAGGAATGCGAAATCGTGGTCGCTTCGTTGTAGCCGCTATTTCGTTATAACCGACTTCAGTCAACTAAGTGCAAAAGGAAATGCGAAATCGTGGTCACTTCGTTGTAGCCGCTATTTCGTTATAACCGACTTCGGTCAACGAAGTGCAAAGGGTATGGGAAATCGTGGTAGCTTCGTTATAGTCGCTATTTTGTTATAACTGACTTCGTTATAACCGGTCTCGACTAAATTATACTTTTTCTGTGCCTGGTTGGTTTGGGGCGGTGACAGCGCAGGCACAATGAATGCCGTGACGATGCGCTTATGGCGCTGCCAGATTGGCTCCTTTATTTTGACGTCCGTTACCAAGTTTTCGGGACATCCATTTTCCAACTTGGCACCCCCTCCAAGCGCGGCGAAAGCCGTAGTTCTACGTCGAAAGAGAAAAAAAAAACTTGTGACATCGGGAAAAGCGGAGGAGGGAAAGGGGGGTTTAAAATATTGTATATTTTGATGGGTAGAAAGATAAGAGAGTTTAGGAAACACTGCGGTAGAGAGAGAGAGAGAGAGTGGGGTCAGAGCGCCTCTTGCCCTGGCTGTCATGTACTTGGGGACAGCCATTTTCGGCAATGCAGTCAAAGTTAGGGGCACGCGTGCCTGTCCCTTCTGAGCTCTGATTAAAACACTGCGAGCGCTCTACTCCACTCTTTGGAAAGGTGGAGAAAAGTTGTTTCCGAGTTAGTGTTGCGCCCTGACATTTAGGCTTTGACGCCCGGGCGGCCGTCGTATTTCGACACGAGGGGAGCGCTCTGCACTAGCCGCTCGGGAAAAGAGCTTTCTGCCCGCGGTTCCCTTTGTCTGATCTTAACTCAGGGCTTCCTCGTAGGGTACTCCTTACCCCCGCCCCCCCCCCCCCTTTTTTTTTCGTGTGGCGCGCAGGACGCGTGCTGTATCCTATAGGTATGCCACTGTTGTAGAGGTAAAGGTGCTTGGCATCCTTTTCAGTTAAACGCCTTCGTAGATGTAATCGATACTACACTGTGTAAAGCAACTGGAAATTCACCCGATAAATGCATGCACACTCCTCGTGCTATACTCCGTTTACCTTATGTTGTACCACAGCGAAGGCTAGAAGCGCGAGCCCATAGCGTTGGCAGCTATCCTTAATGCACGAGAGCTTCTGCCGTCAAGATGTGCCCTAGAGCAAGGAGCTCGTGCTTGTAGCCTTTCCTGCAGTACATCATAAGGTGAAATAGGGTATAGTGACTCCTTTTTTTGTTAACGCATTTTGATCGTCCAGTCGTGTCCTCGGACGCTCCCTTGCTCGCATGCAGGTGCGCCGTTTAAACCCACCTACTGTTCATGCTTCGTTTTATCTTACGATGTACAGCAGCGGGCACTAAGAGCTGTCAGAGCCAGTCCAACGCAGGTTGAGTGTCAGTGCTCTTGCGGCGACGCCCGGAAAGCTAAACTCAAGTGATACACTCAACGCGCATGGACTTGCTGGGATAGGTCCTCGGGCCCGCTGCAAGTCAACTTAAGCTGAAAATATGTATAGCCGCGGCCTGCACGGCGTCGGGTGACGAAGAGCGGAGTAAGACTGAGCACGAAAAAAAAAAATGGGGGGGGAGGGGGGGGAGGGGAGGGGAGGTGAGGTGAAGTGAAGTGGTGGAAGAACACACAGAGCTAAAAGAATGCTACGGAAGAGCAAAGAGCATCGTGTTTCGGTGCCTATGGTAGAAATCTGCTTTTTACCATCTGTCGCTGCCAAGAAAAAAAATGTTTTTTTTTTCATCCTTGGAGGCAACGTTGTGCGGCAAAGCCCCTGTAACGGAGACAGGTCGACTGATTTTAGGCAAGGTTTGATGTCGTTTTTTTTTTTTTTCTTATGTTCCTAGGAAACTTTGATTGATTATTTTGGCGTGACAATTTAGTAAACCTTATTGAGAATAAGTTATAATTAAAAATAAACGATGGTGTTTTTTTAAATATAATTTCGATCAATTGTGGCAGATTAGGAAAATGATTTAAATTTTCTAATTGACAAGATAAACTTGTAAAAAAACTAGTTTTTATGTAATTGTAAGCTCCTTGTAGCTACTCATATTATGGTATACTTTATTAAGTATTTACAAAAGTCGCTCGATATAAAATAATTTCTAAAAGAGTGTTTAAAATTGGGCTTTCCTGGAGTATTTCGTAGTTTATGGTTCATAGTAATTTTCAATATACTTTATTAATATTTGCTTAATGTATTTTAGAGCATATATATAGTAAACAGGAGAAATTATGACACCATAGGTGCTTTTAAAAAATATATTAACGGTGATGCAAACTATCATGCTAAATATCGTCGTTTTTCACGCCTCGAGCTTCTCAACTTTGTATCTCTGCGAAACAAATTAGCTGCGGCGTTAATATATAAACGAATATTCTTCCCGAAGACATGGCTTACACATGTTTATTTTTTTTTTGTAGAAATATAAAAAAATATGACCCGATTCATCTCTGCATAAACTGACGAGGAATCACCCTGTTCTCAATCACAGTTGTGCCACGCGAAACATGATCAGATTAGTGGAAACGAGAGATAATTTTGACTCGCACTGTATGTTAGTATGCATACCCGTAATAATGTATTACTTTACGTTTGTACAGATTACAACGCTGTTTGCCGACACCACAACTGTGCATCAGCTCGCCATCAAAATGAACGAGACTGGAGTCCGCCTTCCCAGTGTGAGAAGCATTCTCTGCATCGCTGTCAGAGCAACTGAAAGGGCCGCAAAAGACATTTTCTCGGCATTCAGTTTACGGAGCTTCAGAAGCTTGTACGGAGCCACGGAACTTGGCAACGTAATATCGTGGATGCCACCCGATACGACTGAGTACAACACCGTCGGTTTCCCCGCTCCGGAAGTTCAGATCAAGGTGCGTGATCAACGCCAACAAAATATGAGTTAGTTTATTTCGACCATGTTCGCCCGCGTCTTCGACTGGTGTGTCATAGCCTCCTATATACTGACAAAGCCTGGTAGATCGCCACGAGAAGCGGCTGTCGAAATGGAAAAGGTAGAGCGTCGCAGACAACGGATGAGAGAAGAGCCACATGACTGGCGCCCCGCTGCGGCGAGGCGCCGAAACACACTTCTTCCGAGCGAACAAGTGTGTTTCGGGTCCTCTCTGCTGCAAAAGCTGTGCGCTGACGTCCAGGTTCCCCGAGAAATTACCCTTTGATGATCTGTGCGACCAGATGCTCGCGCTCCAAATCTGCGACCGGGCACTCTATGGCTCCGCCGTTGAACTGCCAGGCTTCGTGAGTATAGAGGAAGTTAGAGGTGAGTTTACCGCGTCTAAAAACAATGATCCCTCGATTACCGCCTGGGCCGTGTTCCAAAATTTACTCGATCTCACTCTATAGGGTAAAGGTCCTCTACATTGGTATTCGACATCTTACCCGCGTCCAGCATTGCTCTATCGGTCTTGTCATCACGTGACATTATACACCGGAGCAACTCGGATCCGTAAGATTTGAAACATGGCCCCGATGATGTCATAAAAGTGTCACGCTGTCGCCGGCCGTAATCCTGTCGGGGTCACAACAGCGATGCTGGATGTGTCAGACGCCTGGTCTGCAGGTCCCTCGAAAGCTTGGCAGTCCGCGGAAGCTTCGGAAGCCAGGAGTCAGGACGCCGCGACAAGAGCGACACTTGCGTTCTCTCGGGTTTTTTTTTTTTTTTTTTTTTTTTTTTTTTTTAAGAGCTTTTACGTTTAGCCGCCAGGACCGTGACTTCCAACAGCATGACAATCCAGTTATTGTGACGTCCTTTTTTGGCACTTACGGACTTGGTTGCGTGGGTGGAATGCGGAGAGCAAGTCGTCTGCTTCTTTGCGCAGGGGCGACGTTACTAGATTACCTCAGTTGTGGAACTCCCGCGGAAGGGGATACCCCCCCCCCCCCTCACCCATTTCATCCACCTTTCGTCGTCTGAAGCGCCATCTAGATTTTCGTTTCATAACTGTGTGTTCCATAGCGTACGGTGGAATGCTATCTAGACGCTGCGCTTCGAAACCTACGTATCCCATAGAATACGCTGCAGTTACCAAAGCAGCCGTCCGGCGCGTCGAACGACGGGAGGCGAGCCGTGGTGAGGGGGGGGGGGGGGGGGGGGGTACTGCTCGTGCAAGCAGCGTCTATGAGCAGTTTCGTAACTGATCTAGTCTAATAACGTTCGGGAGGGGCTACGGTGACGTCAGAACGACGCCGAGCTCTGATTGGTTTGGTTGAAAGGATAGTGGGTGCACCTCAATAATAGATGCCTTGAGGTCTACCCACTATTTTTTTTTTTTTAATCAGCCAACGAGAGATCGGCGTTCTGACATCATCGCAGCCCCTGTACAAGAGAAGCAGACAAATTTGCCCTCCGCGTAAGACGCTAAACACACCAGTTGCACTGCACCTTGACGCAATTGAGATTTTTGTCTCGAACGCAACCAGGTTGTGCATACGAAAACCGGTCAAGTACTTGGGCCAAGGCAGCATGGTGAACTGTGGGTCAAGTCACCCACCAACATGAGTGGCTATCACGGTAACCCGGAAGCAACCTTGAAAGTCCTCACCCACAATGGCTGGCTGCGATCAGGTATACCTGTCCGGGGCTTCGATAGATTTGTGGATAGTGATTTGACGATTTGTGACTAAAGTCTTTGCTTCTTCCGCTTCTCGTTCTGGGAGACAATTTTTTTTTTTTTTTTTTTCAGTTGGGGCGGTTGGGAAAACTAGGGAGCCTTCATGTGCGCTTTGCTAGGGTGATGCCACCCTTTGTAATACCACTCGCCGACAAACCAGCAGCCATTTTGGTTCTTGGCGATAATTCGTGGGGCTTATAACGCTCCCGGAAACAAGCACTTTATCTCACAAGTTCGGAGCGGCGTTGTGGAACCCACGGAGAGAGGATTAGCATTTTCTCCCTCGGATGGGAGGACCGATAGACACAAAGGCCACTTTCCGGCGCACGGGGAAACAATGAGAGGAACAAAATGGCGGTGGAAGAGGGTGTGGGAAAGGGAAACAGGCAGTTGGCATCACTCTATGCGATGCGCACACGAAGGCATCCTAGGGAAAACTAGCCGAGCTAGCCGCATGGTAGAGGTGGTCACCTGGTCTTCTCCTTTTTCCTCTCCCTCGCATGCCATGCGACGCAAACCTTCGACGCAAATATACTTTACAAGGACAGTACATTATACTCTGCTCATTTGCACTAGACAGCGCGTCTACAGCACCAAAACCTCCCCTATCGGCGTGGGCGGACCGCATCCCAAAAAGTTGGGTTGTGTGTATGTCTATACAGGCTACAACTTGGTCTGCCTATCAGGCGACGAGTCTCCCAGCTGTAGATGAGAAATTCAGCCAGTGCAGTACAACCGCTAGCCTTGGGTCTTTAATGTGCGCCACGCAGTAGTGATACACGACCGCACGCTGGTACGATACCCATCCAGATCGAAACTGGAAGGGCCAGTGGGGATTGAGCCCAGGATCCTGGGTTCTGCAGCGCGAGCTTTCGCTCCACGTTCTCCGAGCTGGTGTGCGCTAACCCACTCGGCCACCGATCCCCCACCGCATCCAAGAGAACGCAAGCGAATCGCTTTGTTCACGCTGTCACGCTGCACCGGAGGAAGTTGCAGCCGCCAACAAACTCACCGCGAGATACCGGATCCGCCAAGAGAGCAGAAACGGATCTCTCTGGTGTCTAGAAGGCTGTCGATCTACGACGGCAGGTGGCGGCGGCAACCAGTCCTCATTCAAAAAAAAGAAAACCCTGAAGCCGCGCGCTTCTAGCCGTTCTAACTACGCAAAAGCTGCCGGCACCGAGGCCATTCTAATTTCGCGGTGGAAGATATGTTCCCTAGTAAAGTATTTGAAGTGAGCTCCAACGCGTTGACAAGGCGACGACGTGGAGAAAAGGAAAGCCGCCAGGTGGTTGAGGTCCTCGAAAGTTGAAATAATAGAGTTATTATAATGTACGCTAGAGGTTCAACTGGCGCTGGTGTCTATGCGACTTCCGGGTGGCAAATTGAAGCAGACAGCAACCAGTCTATTTTTGCGGTTTTCCTGTGCATTCCTATGGGAAAACGCGCGTGCATTTGGTCTCTTCGCCGGAAAATAACATGGAACACTTTTGTTATTTCGGTCGTACAGAATAGTATGTACCTTTATTAACATTGTAAAAGTGTACTTGCTTTAGTTAGCGCATTTTTCTTCATCAATGGACGATGTTTAACTTTGCTATATTTCAAGCCCAAACCTCTGTTCCACAGCAGGTGTGTAAAAACAAGCTACGATTCTAAGCAAAACAACAATCGAAATGAATAAAGAGCGTGTTCGAGGCTCGCCAGCATTCCGGTGACGCTTATGTATTTCTAATGTGCCAGTCTTGTCACTATATGAAAATGCACACTTGCATGTTTACGAGCCGTTAAAAACATTCAAAACGTAAATAACAAAGTACATGGGGTATGAAAGGCTTTTCTTTCTAATATTTTCTCTGACGGGCAGTCTTTATCGGGCACTTCTTATCAAAGATTTCCAGCGTGCGAGTGATGTTCTGAACGCAGAAAAAGCATCTTCGCACAAAGCAGAAAGAATAAAGAAGTACTTACTTATTGAAAATAGGACTATATTACGTAGCCTCCAATTTATTTTGATCGTACATGCACAAGGAGCTACTGATCCAGTGTTCTGCGTAGTTCTTACCGTCTTAGTTTTCCAGATGTCCTTCGTTCGTTTGGCACGTATATTCCCCATGCTGAAAAGCGCCGACGTCGTGTTCGCGCTAACAGTGTCCGACAGTGCACATAAATACATGTACGAAGCCGTTTTAGCACCGTTTTTATTGCAATTAATTTGAAAGAAAAACGTCCTAACTGACCAATTATTTCATCTCTCTAACCGAAAAATGTTCAAAGCTACCTAGTACGTACGAATTATTCGGGATATTTTCTCTTATAATCGAGCGCAGCGAGAAAATGTACTCGCTTTTTCCCATAGAAATGCACTACCGGAAGTCAGTTTTCGACTGGTTGCTGTCTGCTTCAATTTGCAGCAGCACGCTATGGCCAGTTGAACCTCTAGCGTACATTATAATAACTCTATGGTTGAAATACCGTCAATTCCGAATGCGGCTTGCAGAAGCCGCAACGCGTCACCGGTGACGTCACACGCTCCGCAAAACATTTTCACGGTTTCTGGAACCTGCTACCCACGATCCGGTTTTGCTTGAACAACTTTATTTATCGAGGGAGAAACCTGGCGCTCCTTTTTGTGAAGTGTTTATTCAAGCCTTACAAACTAATTTATGCCTGATACCACACAATTCCCGGAAATATACCGCCGGCAGTGAAGAGGCGATAAATAGTCATTTTTCTTACTATCTCCTGCGACCGGGACTTTACATGGTGAGTTTAAATTTTTCCCCTGTCATATTTGACGTGGATGGACGTTTATCTGTATGCGGTCGATTAATAATCACGCAGGATTCACGTTACAGGCTTCATATTAAAAACCGAACTTCATTTATCAAAGTAATCTGGACAGTTCACAAAAAAAAAAAGCATCTAACTTCATAACACATAATATGCCGTCTACATAGTGATAAATTTAATCAACAAGCACATAATTTAGACTCTTGAAAAAAATAAATAAGAAGGTACGCTATGCTGAGTGGAAAGAGGTGGGAGTAGCTTCCCCTGACTCTTAAGAGGAACTGAAGTCATTTTCGAAAAAGCTTGTTTTTGATCTTATATTGGTTTAAAATGTGTTAATTCCAACATATACAAAGTCCTATATTACAAAACCGCCTGTTCATCTCAGGACAATAGAAAAACATGTGCCCTATTTTCTCTCGCGGATTACATTGCGTGGACCAATGAAAGCCCTACAATACGCGCAGATTCCGAATGATTTTATTTTAACTTATTTCGAGAAGAGCGGTTGTCGTTTCAAGTTTGTTGGGATGCCTAGAGCGTCTAGATTGAGTTGTCACCACAAAAGGACGATCTCAAAATCGACTTCAGTGCTCCTTTAATGCCCAACGAGCATCCAGCAAGGAAAAAACTGTACCTGAACTCTTCCTTTCCATTCGAGGATGATGGAAACCCTCCTTCTTTTTGCTGGGAGTAGTTCAGAGACCCGCTGCTGTGGGGAGAGGAGAAGAGAACAGTGCGAGAGGGAATGAAGAGAAGGACACTAACCGGTTTTCTGGCCGGCACAAGACGATTTTGTAGGTCGGCCTTTAACCTGTAACGGGCTATATAGACCCGTGTGCATAGCCGTACAATTAATTTTGCAGCGTACTATCCGATAGTGTTTCTTGCTCTTTGTACGCTGGGTTTTACTGTACAAATTAACCGGAGTAAATATCCACGGATGACATTCAAAGGTTCAAGTATGTTCATATAACGATCGAAGTTCAGTTTACATATTGTGGGTCAGTTATATTAATTGCTATTTCAAGATGTAAAGTCCTTCCGAATGGTATTTCTTATTATTAAAAAGTACATAAAATAAAATATCGAAAGGGCGAGGCCGTCCTGTCGTGCGCCGTTAAGTATCCAAAACAAAACACGTTTTAGTACAAACGCACAACACAAAAAAAAATTGGACCAGCGGATTTTTCTTTTTAAATTTCTTGTTTCCGCATTTAATATATGTATGACAACTTACCTTCGTCAAAAGATGACCACAGATCATATTGTATTGGTGACCGAGCAACATGACTCTACGTGTCATCCTTTAAATAAAATAAATAAACGAATTCGTGCCGCATGTTGAGGCAAATTCAAGAGGGCTGTCGTGGGACCTCTACCATGAAGTAATCGGGGGCAACGTTTGCGCAAATCAGTTAAATCAACTCTTAAAAAAAAGCTTCTCTAAGTCGTGTTGAATTTTGGTAAGCGTTTTTGGTGCGAGCAGCTACAAAGAAAGAGTATATAGATATATATTGTAGCGAAGATTACGGCAAGTCTTGAGACCAGGAAAGGAAACGACGATCGCGCGAGTCTTTTTTTTAAATTTGACCCGTATCAGTGCCGGCAATAACAAACCACTTCAGTTATACCACTTCCCTTGTCTCGCTATTCTTCGTTTCACTTGGTGGAGGTGCGGGCCTTTCTCCATCCCTTCGGCATCAAGTCTGGAGCTGAGGAGCCGCTTTCTCACATCGAAAGCAGCAAGGACACCCCGTACTGCCAGTACGAGCTCCGCAGTGACCTCAACGGCAACCCAAGCAGACATCGGATCCCAGTCGGTACTCACTACTCGTCAACGTGAGCCTCATATTTTCTCCGGTATTGGCGACGCTGACGTCGACGACTCGATTGACGCATACGTTCGCGCCAGTCATTACAATCACTAGAACGATGCAACGAAATTGACTACCGCCATTTTCTACTCGTCCGACGTCGCGAAGCTCTGGTTTCATAACCATGAACAAGTCTTTCAACGCTGGCAAATGTTTGCTAACCGCCGTAGGGAATTGTTTGGAAGACCTGCGATGCGACAGATTACAGCAGACCGAAAGCTTTCTTCGCGTGCTCAACAGCCAAATGAATCATTTACATCCTATAGTGAAAAGGAGCTTGATCT